GATCAGCTGCGCCGATAGTGGAAGGAAACCAGGGCAACCTCCATCCCAACCCTCCAATCACATTGCTCTTTTGCGCTTTCATTTCTGCAGTCGTTGACAAGTGACCCCGTCAACCCCGCCCTACCCGCTACCACATAATCACAGGTGGATATGAAGCCTTTGTTAGGACACCTGTTTTCATGTGCAACAGCTTGAGGTTCATTTTGCAACCAAGTTTAAGATGGGAGCGAGTTCTTGCATGTTTATTTTTTTAAATTGAGATCTTCCATATTAGTTTTCTGTGAAATTTGTGGTTTTGTGTCAGACAATAAGGGCATGTTTAGAAGGAAATTACAAGGGCCTCCTTCAGTCAGTCGGTAACTAAAAATGGACTTCCTTTATGAAAATCACCTTCAGAGAGAGAGAGAGAGAGCACATTGAACTTCCAAGCCTACACTCACACAGGCATCCAAGAAAACAACAGGGTTACATAATTCAGAGTAATACCTCAAAAGTACTTGTTCACTGACAGCCAGCGATAGCTCCTCTCATTGTGTAATCACTCATATCTGAACAGTGTTAAAATTTTTCCATTTGCAATAAAACTGCCATTTATTTACTACTTTGACGCATAATTTTGCCACAGAGAGTTTGGCTTAAAAGAGAAGTTCCATGTTTTTATTTCATTCTTTCTGCAAGCCACCACCACAACATAATGATAGGTTATGAAAGATACGACTCCTGAAGGAAATGTGCAAATGTCTTTGGGGGGAAAAAATGGATTGGAAAAAAAAAAAAAAACGATGGAGCTCTAAGTCAAGTGACCTGTCTTCTTCTGTTGTTGACATGACGTGATCATAATCATATTCAGCCAACAAATAGATTTAAAATTTCTACCCGATTGAGAGATTTTAAGAGATGTTGCCCTTTTTTTCCACCCTCTCTCTGTGATGAACCTCTGGCCGTGGAGCAATAACAGTGGCCTCAGTGTCAATCCAGATTCTTTCTGTGTTTTTATTGAGGAAAATTCATTTTCTCCCCTAACAGGCATTTTATAGAGTGCAGTTTGTGCCATAATGCAAGAACGTAAGGATTGTGGTAGAAGACAAAAATCCTCTGTGCTCCATTTAAGTGGATGATGTTTGAGTCTTCCTTTTTTAAGGCAGTTAAATTGAATCTTGGTGAATAAACTGCAAATAGCAGCAGGTATTTGCTTAAGTTTTTGTTTTTCTTCTTCTTTTGGTATTCACGGATGCAGCCATAATCTCTGAAGAGAAATGGCTTTACTTTAAGGACACTCTGGGAAAAATGTATAATCCGGTAAAACAAGTAAATGCAGGCTACTAAAAGCTAATATTTTAATCTGAACATACTTGTGAAGATTAGCAGATACCAGCATCGGACTGGATATATTTAAATCTAATCTTTCCTTTGTGGTCTGTGTATGTATGGATGTGTGTATGATGAGAGGTTAGAGGATTGAGGGGGTTCTTGGCATGGTTTTGGAATCTTGTGATGGAGTTCAGGAGTTTATTCACATGGGAATCAGAACAAGGTACAATGTTCATACTTTGGACTATTCCTTAATAATACCCTTGGTTCACATCTTACCCCAATGCAAAGTGTTTTAGGACAATGGAATAAGCAAATTTATGCATGAATCCCAAACCAGTTTGTAGTTTAGTGGAAGTATACATCCAGCTATTCTGTGAAGACTTCTTGGCATCTACAACATCTCGGTATGAAGAGCATTAAAAATATAAAAAAAAGGCTCTAGTATCTCTGGAGGAGCTGTAGAGGTTGGAAGCTCTGGTACCAGTTCTTGTTGTTCACTTTTAAGCAAGACATTTAGCTAGAGCTACAATGTAAAGCTCTAGACCAGTGGTTTTCAACCTTTAGGGCCCTCTATCCTCCATCTTTAACTTGTGCCTCTGCTTCAGCGTACCGTATTTAAATGACTGCATTACTTCCTAGTAAACAACTATTCATTTTAGTCTGGTATATTTGCTGCAGGGAGAGGCTTAAGATTTGGATATAAGTTGATCAGCAGGACCAGGATTAAGAAGCACTTGTAAAGATGCAAGCATATCCATGTATTAGAACTATCGAGTCAAACTAGACCCAAATCCAATCAACAATTGTTGGCAAGACTTAAAGTATTTTTCATGGGATCTAAATGCAAATGCATTCCACCATCTTTACATGTTTCTATAAAACATCTGAAAAATATCATTATTAGTGTCTACTTCCCAAATATGTGCTACTTTTATGGTCTATCAGACAGAAAAAACAAAATGCATATGAATACTAGTAAGGTACATAAATACAGTACATTAAGGAACAAAAAATGATTACTTTCACCAGCACAGAGATCCAGAATGCTGCAGCAGAAGACAGATCACTTTGCTTAATTAATCTTTGAACACTTTATAACTCATTCACTAGTGTTTCTTATGCATTAATTAAGGATGTGCAAGAGAAAAAACACAGACTAGTAGTGAGCCTACTTTTTTCTACATTGTTACTAACTTTTGATCACAGTAAGCGTTTGAAGACATCATTTTTTTTGCATTAATGATGTCAAATACATATTAAGCTCTCATGAATGAGTTGTAGTGTTTACAGGTTAATTAATAACATATTTATAAACCAGTTAGAAGCCATCATTAAGGGGATGCTTATTGAGGGACCAAAGTCTAAATGTGATATATTCCTTTGTGGCATATAAGAGTTTCTGTTCTGCTGGAGACTTTTAATAAATATCCATGAGGGATGTTAATGTGAGTGTTGAAAATTATTATTTTTTTCCTGTCTTGTTTTAAATTACATACATTTCTGCTTAGATATGTGTTTTTTTCGTAAAAGCTCAGTTAAAGCTGTCAAAAATGAACTGCTGACAAACTTGAGATTGGTGCGCCTGCGTGCCCAAAGGAAGAGCAGTCAATGAGACAAAATGGTTCCCTTTGCTCAGTCATTGCTGGCAATTTGGCTCAGGTTACCTTGGCAACACAAACTTGGTTTTCTCACTGAGAGCGAGGAGAGACGGTTGCTGTTACAACGTGGCCACGACAGAGCTCGCATCCAAGAGCAACAGCCTTGAGTGTTGTTTTCTCTTCAGCTATATTAACACTGTCAACAAGCGTGATTATGATGATGCAGGCTGGGCTTTTCATCTTACACAGACCCGCTGACCTGCGCTACCAGAAAACTACATTATCTGCCTCGTTTTTTGCACAGAAATCAATTCAATGGCCACAAATAGTATCAGAAAAATAAACTTTTTTCTTTACTTATAAAGACAGTACTGTTTGTTTTTGTGTGTTTATGCAATCATGCTGCCACAGAGAGTAACTGCCTGATTTGGTTGAAGAAGTTTTGCTACCAGACAGGCTCACTGGCCCAGAAACATTTACTTTTAGACGAAGGGACAAGAGTTGCACCTTGTACATCCAGTGAACAAGATTCCCTCCTGAAAGCTGTCATGCGTGCATACAAAGAGCACATCATCACTCAGAATATATTCACTCAAGTATATGTGGTCTTAATAAAATCTAAGCATACCTTTTGATTTTCTCACACATCTCTTTTTGTGTTTGGAACAAAGTGTTATGAAATGCAGCTGTTGCTCTGTGCTTCTTTATTCTCTCTGGTATCAGATGAGATGTGCACTTTGCTGGTCAGGCATGAGTGACCTTTATGGATGCCTTTTAGCCTCGGCCCCTCCAGTCAGCCTCCATTTCAAACATGCCCCTTGCTTATCAGTAACCTATTACTTCTCACAGCGGCTCCCTGTGCAAACACCAGCTAAGGGAGTATAACAATGCAAAGGAAAAATGCAAATATTCATAAACTTCTGCTTTGTAATCAAAATTGTGGTCAGCAGCGCTGAGTTTTTCTGTAGCAGCTACATTCGTGTTTGCAGTTTTACATTTTCTCTTGAGAATGCTGACAGAAAATTGGATTTATTACAGGGTGACAATGGCTACCTTCTTCACCATCGGAGGCATATGTCTTAGTGTGGGTGTTTACTTTCCCCGGGCCAGCTTGGGTAATGTGATTGTGTTTAATATGCCTCATACATACCCCTGAGCGAAAACACATCCACTGTGTTATTGATTTGGTTGTTTGTCACAATAAATAATGCAAATCACATTTACCCGATCCTGAAAATATTTGTTGAACAGGAATTCTTGTCAAGCTGCAGCTTGAGACCTTCGCTCAGAATATTTTGTCACAAATATCAACAACTTTTGGAGTTATTGATCTTCATATCTCGGTCAGGTTCATTAGTTTAAAAAAAAAATGCTCATCTTAAAGCTTCGCAATTTTTCTTCTGCTCCTTTTAAAGCATAAATTCTGCTTTTTTCCACTGACTTAATAAGATTTTTTTTTTTTTTTTTTGCTTTCTGAGGGGTCATGTCGAGTGAAATAAAACAAAAAATAAAAAGTTAACCAAAGTTTCTACTGGAAAAACTCTTACCAAGATGAAGCAATTCATGCCTCCTTACTGCTGGTGAAAACAAACCGAAGATAAAAAGGATATAAACTAGGAAAAAAATTCTACTATTCAGGGGCTCACATTTTATTTGGGAAATTTTAATCAAAATATGAAGGGTTTTTTTTTCAATAGGAAAACCTAAAATTAAAATTGGATGTATAGTTTGGCAAGCCCAAAGTGACTTTAAAAACAAATAGCTCCATTAGCAGCTGAAGAAATCCTTTAGTTGATTTTTCTTTTGCATTATATTTTAATATGTGAAATGCAAAGCTCCTAATTTTGTGACTGAATCTGGGCATGGGGCTTTAAAAAAGTCGCACAGTTTTTAATTTGTCTAAGAGTGAGAATCTTCAGTCAAAAACAGACAGCTCAGCATGTTTTTGAGTAAAAGGAAGAGGAGACGAGCCTTTTTCTCTGGAGATGAAAAGTCAACTAAGTTTTATTTTTTCTCCAACTTTTAAGGTTAAGGGTCTTCTTTTGCTCATATTAACTTCTGTTTATTTTATTTTTTTCCTGTCTTCAGGTGGCGTTGGCATTGCAGCCACTCAGCTGTGCAAGACTGTGAAAGATGTGACCGTGTTCGGCACTGCCTCGGCAAGCAAACATGAGGCCATCAGTCAGGGTGGAGTCACACATACCATTGACTATCGCACCAAGGACTATGTGGAGGAAGTACGCAAGATCAGCCCAAAAGGTGAGAAAGAAAAACATCCACAAAGATGCGACATTTAGATTTTGTTTCCATTGGGGAATGCAATTAAACTGAATTCCTGTTTATAGTAGTGTGTACTTGTTTGTTGGATATTTCTGATAGGACAACTGCTTAGGCTCAATAGATACCTCGTAGTGCAAGGTTATACACTCTGTGTGGTAAATTGTAGGTATGATCAGATTATTATTATTATTTTTTTTTCTCACAGTTGGCTTTCATTCTCATCAGGCTGGCAGCACATAAGGAGTCATTTTCCCACCAAGCAAATACTACACTCTGCCCCATGTAGCAAACAAAGATTTATGTTTCCAAAATTGCTGCTTGGAGATGAATGACTCTTTGTTTAGCTAAATAGAACAAAGTCTAGTCTCCTCTTGCTGTTTAAAGTATAATATGGTTTCTCAGAAGCCCATCTCATTGGCACATCTCCAACCTGTCTCTTTTCATTTTGGAGTCAGGCAGACAGATAGGTTGCAAGCAAGAGCTGACACTTTACACAGAATGTATCTAATTAGTAGCCTAGATCAATGGGCTCACCACCAGTCCTTCTATATTTGACTCTTTGTCAATTCATGTGTGCTCTGGTCAGGGCAGAGTCGTGCTGTGAGCCCAAACAATCAATGGGACCTGGGTTTAACGGAGCAAGGAGGGGTAACCCAATTTAAGGAGTTCCCTCTGGCACAAAGGAACATCATTAAGGCAGAACCTACATGGTTGGACATTAATAAGCCACAGAGAAACCTTTATATTCTCCTTTTACCATCTGCGCAGAGGCTGGATTGTTATGCTGAAAAGATAACAACAGGGAGACATCGCATCTGTCTTGTCAGATGAGGGACATGAATGGAAAAAATGATCATATATGAAGGTTTTGTTGTCTTCCTCCTGTCCTCCTTCATGGGTTTGAGTAAACACTGAGCAGCTTGGCTACACTCACTATTCCTAGTGAACTTTGGCATGCAGAGGGGCCACTAAGGAGACCTGGCAGGCTGCTCTGGCTGAATTCACCCTAGAGATAATTTCCACCGCTTGTCTCCTCTGCCCCAGGGCTGGACATCGTGCTCGACCCTCTCGGAGGATCAGACACCCACAAGGCCTACAATCTGCTGAAGCCTATGGGAAAGCTCATCACCTATGGTAAGTGAAAATGAATCCAATAAAAAAAAAATTGTATCATGAAAACACAATATAGCCTTTTGTTAACCTTTTCTGTAAAAGCTATAAAATTCACTGTTATTCACAATGGTTACATACAGATCAACAAGCTGTGGTTAGTTCTGTTTATTTTTTAATAAAAAAAAGTTTTATCTATTTAAAGTCCTCCCTTCCAAAGAAAAGCTTTTCTTTCAAGGATTTTTAATTGCATTTTATCAGATCAGGCACAGGGCCACCAATCAGTAAGAAGCTCTTAACATTTATATTGTTGTTGCTTTGTCTTCCTCTTTGAATGATTGCATGTTTTAATCAACTAAGTCATTCAGAGGTGTTTACTTCTGCCTCAAATTGCAGAGGCAACCATACTGTCACTTTATCAGAACACATTTTCACTGTTGCATCACTGGACCAAACTTAAAATCACAAACTTAATGACACAAACTTTTCTTGTCCAATATTCTTCCTCCAATATCTACAGAGTAGAATTCAAGGTTCCATCAACAATGACAAGTCATCAGGCCTTAAAGCAGTATAGTCCCAAACCCTGACACTATCCACCGACCTGCTTTATTGTCGGTTGGATGTTCTTTTTCTGACACCTTGGCTGTGTCCGCTTGTCCGCCCTAACCCCTTTATAAATCACTATAATGGGCCCTAAGCCATTTTATACAAGTGTCTAGAATGTCTACTAGATTAAAAGATATTTCCCCTGATGTTTTGCAAGAGTTCTCTTTGCAAAGCATCATGGGGCTTGTTTTGCGGGTGAAAGAGAACAAAGATGGCACAGGCAATGTGCCGGGAGCCAGAGTCACTCAAAAAGTAGTGATTATTTGTCCGAATGGCCCATTAAATGAGTACACTATAGATATCTCTGTATAGTCCCCATTTTCTGTTTTTTTTTTTTTTTTTTCACCAAGTTCACCAAAAGCTTTGTTGATCTATAAGAAGTTTTTAGGCAAATGTAGGTCCTGGCCTTTTGGGTCAGCGGACGATTTGGCCTTGGAACTCCGACCTGAACATTTTTGCCCACTCTCTCTTTCTTATTGTTGAATCGTGAACTCTGACCTTGATTGAGACAAGTGAGGCCTGCAGTGCTTTAGATTTTGTTCTGGGTTCTTTTGTGACCTCCTGGCGGGTCGTTGATGGCCAAGAAAGTTCAGTCTTGCTCTGTTTTCTTCATCTGTGGATAATTGCTCTCCGTTTACTGGACAGCCAAAGCCTTAGAAGTTTTTTCAACCCCTTACAGGTTGATAGCTGGAAATGACTTTATTTTCCATCTGAAATTCTTTGCACTTATTAAGGAGTTACATTTGGTAAGTAAACAGGTGTGGGATTATGTAGTGAAATTGAAATGTGGTAAAATCTTGGACCAAAATTTCTTCAAAAATATGTAAAAAATGTGTTGCCAGTTACTGCAAACTCTTGACAGTAGTCGTTACCACCAGTGGTGATGTAACAGTTTTGGCTCCACACACGCTGCCACACACGCTGCCATATACTGGAAAATCACTGAACCATTTAAAGTGTTAAAAACATGAGGCAAACTGATTTGCACCAATTTAAGTCCTTAAGTCCATTATCACAGTTTAATACAACTTCATCATCCAAGATAGCATCCATCATAGTTTGAGTCATTGTAGGTAACACTGTGGCTGAAAGACATCAAGGTTGAAACTTTCACAATTAAAAAAACTGGAATACTTTGCAAGATAGTTAACTTTTCAAAAAAGAAGTAGAAGGTATTCCAGCTAAAACAGACTAAATAGCAATTGCAGCCATGTTCATTTTCCTTCAGCCTGCCGCTTCTGGTTGATATCATATATGTCACTACATTTGCGTTATTGGTAACATTTCTGATTTTGAGGATCACAAATCTTTTGGCTTCTAGCTAGATGTGTTTTCAGAATTTACTGAATTCATAAATCTTGCATCAATTCATAATGCTTGCAAGGTAATGATTATTTACCTCTTATGATGTAATCAATGTAAATCCACTTAAAGCACATACATTTCTTTCCTTCTTTTAAAGTGAAATTTTTCAGAAATTAATTTATGATCCTGTTTTTAGGTCTCCCAAAGTATTGCCTCCTCTTTCAAACTTCCATTTTAGCACTTGAGACTTAAATGAAAAAAGATGACAGCCAGCATTAAAGGCAGTTGAAGCCTGCTGACATCTGGGAGGAGAGATGTCTGCAAACATTCCTTAGAACACATCAGCTACATGTTCAGATTATCAGAGCAAATTCTTTACATTCTTATCAAGCTTATCTGGGATTTATCCTGAAGTATTTACACCACTACATTTTAACTTTTAAGTAGCAATTGAACAAAAAACAAAAACTGTGTTGCTCCTTTTTCATAGAAAATAAAAACATTCTCCTTAGATATTTCATATGGTTGTAAATAGATAGAATAGTTGTGGGTTTCACACTAGCTGCAGAGTAAAGCTGCTTTGTAGTGGGTGGACTGGCCTCTCTGTTGAGGCCCCTGTCCACAGTGTGCTGTATGTCGTCCGTGGGAAGCCCTTTTACGCTCTTTCAGTTACAATGCAAATCCAAATGCATGCAAGAGGTGGGCGGGGTCGGCATCCACGGAGAACAGGGCCGCGGCTTTTTTTTTTTTTTTTGCATGTTGCTCAGAAAGTCGCTACCCAGCATGGTGCCCTCCACCCTCAACCGTTCAGCCTCTCTGGTTTTTCTGCGCTGGGCTGCTTCTCCTCCAGTTCGTCAGAAGTAGGCACGGTGGAACAATGGGGCGTTCTATCCCCATGAAACCTGGAATGTGTGTGAATACAGCGGGCCGGGTCCCTCAATTCTCTCAAAACATGCTTTGTCCCTGCCACCCACCCCCCTCTAGTCTCCTCCAACCCAAGGAACGCAAAGATTGAGAGTAGAAAGACCGTTAAGTGAACCCGTGAGGAGGGGGATTGGAGGAGGATGTGTTGGCAGTGACAGCTGAAGTGCTAAAGAGGTTTTCCTGGGTGAGAGAATAGGTGACAACCTACAAAGAGACAGAGGTGAAAGAAAGAACAGGGCTTGGTTCACTTGCTTAAGAGAGGTGTGACCGTCTAATACCACTGCTTTTCTAATGTTTTAAGCTGAACATAAACAAATGTAACACCTATTCATTAAATGATGAAACGCTTGATTTAAAGTTAATGGAGTCAAACCTTTTTTTTTTTTCTCCACTCAGGTACAGCCAACATGCTGGCAGGCCAAAGGAAGAACCTGATTGCCGTTGCTAAGAACTGGTACCACCAGTTCTCCATCCACACGCTCAGTCTTATTCAAGGTAACAAGTCTGTGTGCGGGTTTCACCTGGGCTACCTGGACGGGGAGATGGAGCTCATCACTCAGGCTATGAACACCATCCTGGATCTGTACAAGCAGGGCAAAGTCAAACCCCGCATTGACTCCACCTGGCATCTTGAGCAGGTTTGCATTGTGTTTTTTGCAGACCGGTTCTTTGTCACAAATATTCACTCAGGTCAGCTGAAAATGTGTGTTTTTATAGACTTTCAGTGTAACGTTTTTGCAAAAACACACATCTGTGTGAAAATATTTAAGAATATTAAATGTACGAAACATTTGTTGACAGGTTACCAGCTTAAAGGTTCAAATATTTTCTTTTTTTGTCCTTACATTGGTTCAAATCTAACAAAGATTACAAAAAGTCCAAAGGAACCTGAGTAAATACAAAAATCTTTTATTTCAGATTTCAATCAATTCAGTTTGTTTATATAAAAACCTACTGAAATGCAAACAAAGCTCAACCCAGTTATACTAACAGATTCCAAGTCGAGTGTTTTTAATTGATTCTTTTTATAGAACAATGCTGCCAAGTTCAATAAGTTATTAATTTAGTTAATAAGTTTTCTTTGTAAGGAAACCCAAAAGATTTTGATGAGTCACCGACATGCAGAATTAACTCTTACTAGATGAACAAGTATTGTGAGTGGACGGCACACATGTTGATGACTTGGTGAAATCTAATTTGAAAACTGCTTTTGGTTTTAATTCAGGTTATCTTCCTCTGATAATACTAACTTTCTAAGAACTGTGTATTACTGCATAAAAGTCGGATTCTTGAACACCTAACAGCCACGAATTCTACTGCTTTGTGGGAATTTGCAGCCATTTAAGGTTGGAAGAGCTTGAATTCTCTGAGCGAGAAACTCCTGATTGCAAATACTATGGGGAGAGCGGGGAGGTCCAATTAATGTATGAATTCCTACTCTAGCCTATGAGTGTCTTTCATTGGATAAAGTCAGCTGACATCATCAGTCAGAAATCCTGTGTGGTTGGCTATTAGAAGTCCATCAGATGTCCATATAATCCGTAATACTCCCTGTACAATCATAATTAAGCTATGTATATGCATAAATATGATCATGACATAAATCAAGCGAAACACTATGGCAATAGCCGTACTGCTCCACTTCTGAGAGCAAAATCTGTTGGGCCCTTTTTTGGCATCAAGACACTTATTCTTATTGTCAAACAGGACACTGTTAAAAAACCCAAAAGATGTCCATCAGATCGGTTCCTACCTATGAGTTTGTGATAAAAATATATCCAACTGTGTGGAGCATAATAAGTGTTTGCTCTCCAACACCTTCTGGCTCCCTCATAGACGCTCAAATGACTCTGAAGTCGTTTGGTGCATCAGAGATGGACAAGAAGCTGAGTACAGGAAGCTGGTGAACCACTTTGCAACATAATGTGGAAACAATTATTTGATCCTGAATGTGAACAAAAACCAAACAAGGGAGATGATTGTAGAATTCAGAAGAAACAGTAACAAGTGGAATCCTATGAGCATCAAATGACTGAAAGAAGCTCAACCAGCTGATAAAAATGTTACCAACTACATTATTTATGTTAAAACAGTCCTAAAAATCCAATAGATGGCACTGACTATTTACAGTTGAAATCAGAAGTTTACACCAGCTACATAAAAGGAGACAAACATTTTTCTTTCTTACAGTCAGCTATAAAATCTGAATAAACCTTGTTCCAACTTTAGGTCCATAATGATTAACAATTATTGTATTTAATGCCAGAATAATGACAGAACAATTGCTTTGCAATTATTTATTATTTTCTAAATATTTAGATGTTTACATACAGTAAGGAAGTAGTCCCAGTAAACCTACAACTCAAAAAGGTTGCATATGACTTTTTAATCTCTGTTGCAATATTTACCATGCCACACTGACTGCACAAAGTTTACATAGCCTTCTGTTAACAGAGGGTTAGCTGATTTCGATCTGTGCAGATTTTTTACTTCTGTCCCATTGAATTACATTCAGTGCAAAATTGCCTTCTGGTGTGCAGTTACCATTGCTAGTTACGTCAGCTGTAAGACATTCCCTAACGTTGTTGGTTTAAGACCCACCTTAGCCTTTTGTAGGGGAGTGTGGCCTAATGGTTAGGGGTTTGCGTTTAAAATCCACAGGTTCTGAGTTCAGGACTGACACTCTTGCTCCCTGAGCAAGACCTTAACCCCACACTGCTTCTGCACTATGGCAGCCCACTGCTCCCCAAGATGATGGGTTAAATGCAGAGAGTTCATTCCCTTGCTCTGTACTTAGGAGAGTATAACGACAATACAAAAGCTGAAAAACAACTATTCAGCAACTATATTCATCACTCTTAAGCCTTTTATTCATATTTAATATACATATAAAATTATTTCTTTTTAGGTTTATCATTACCACTATGTACTATGTCCTCCTCCTCAGTTACAGTTATTTTAGTATCTTAAGGATTTTTCTTGTTGTGTTTTATTGACTGATGTACTGATATTTAATTGTTTCCAATTAGAAAGAGTGAAGTTGGCTAATTCTTTTTAAATTTTAAGAAAACAGAAATCAAAATAACCATTAGCCTTACGTTCTGCTGCAGTTTTACATGCCAAATACTGTCAACAACCCCCCGTATCATTCCAGTGTATCAAGCTTTTATTAGCTACTGTTTAAAAAACAAAACCAAGTTCTATCATTCTATTTCTACTTAGACCAAAATCCTCTGAAATATCGCAGAAGTCAGACAAAACTATTAGTTTAATCTTTCTGTAGATGATTTTGTTTAAGAAATTAGAAAGAAAAAAACATTGATTAGTTTAATAATAAGAAAATCATAATTTGTCCACACTTAGAAAAAACTTCATTTCTCGTTCTGGATGGAAATCATAAAATGTTACGGCTCCTATTGGGGTTTTTTTTTAGCACAACTTCACAGATGTAGAGCTAAAGAATCAATTGCTATTTTAACAGAGCATGTCAATAGAAAATAAAATTGGTTAAGGCAAAAATATTGGCTTTTATGTGTTTTTAACCATTCTTCCTTTTTAAACTGTACAAGTATCTGTTTATGATTTGTCTATTTTGTACTCAGAAGTATATTTTCCTAAAGAGCATCTGTGTTTGGATGTTCATCTGATTGAATCCATCCCTCCTCCTCTTACTCTGATTGATTCATTGTGACTTGGCTGCAGGCTCTCCTGAATAACATTCTGTTGTAGGTTTTTGCAAATGCTTTAAACACATTAATGCCAGGTGCTTTTCGTGCCTTTGTGTGCCTGTTGGTAGGATCTGCAGCAGCTGGGCGTGGCCCTGATACTCGCATTCAGAACCAGAAAGTTGTCCACAAGACGCTCAGTGTCTCGTGCAGCAGAAGTCACTGTGGCCGACAGGCTCTGATTGTTGCAGACTGATTTACAGCGTTAACAGATATGAATGCAGAGATAGAAAAGGAAGCGTCATAAGGATATCTTCTGTTATGAAAATCAGGGCTGGGCAGTATTTTGGCTCTGTGGCCAGAGAGAAACACCCGCTGTCTTTCTCTGCCATCTGAAGCTCTTTCTCTGCCTCTCCATCTGCCCTCTCTTTATCTCCGTTCTTGTTTCTAGCCATCCTTAGGTTATTGACTCCCTCTCTGTCTCTCCCTCTCTTTATTCTCTCCTTCTCCCTGTTTGCTGTGGATCTTTTTTTCCTCTTTCTCTCCTGTTGCTATGGTGACATCCTTTAGTCAGCGTATGCGTTTATCTTAGGGAGGAGCCATGATGTATGAAGAAAGACATGATGTAAAGATAAAGAGTAGAGATATAGGTGGATATCATCTCTTTTTTTGTAAAGTTAGCCAGTTATACGACACCACCGCGTGTGGTGTCTTAGAGACAAAAATCAGCCAAGAAACAGTAGATAAATTATTTTAACCTGAGTAAAGATGCCACGCCCTGACTCCATTCATCACAACCTTGTAGTCCTCTGATTTACAAGAGAAATCTTATTAACTTGCCTAAAGATTTGGAGCCATTGTCTCCCACAGATTCATATAGCTTGTTGCATATGATTATTTCAATAAGAGAAAAATAATTATTCAAACAAGCCTCATTCTGTGTGGAGAAAAAAATCATTGCACTTGCGTTTTTTCAACGATGAATTAACTGATTAACCACTTTCCTTTGGTTCAATTCCAACTGCTTTCAGCAGCCTGAGGGATCAATGGTTATTACTTATATAGCGCCCATCTGGCAATATGAAGTAGGCTCAAAGAATCCAAGAAGCAACATATCATGACACAATCCCAAGTAATTTAACAGATAAAAAAGAAATGCATGGATTATTTTTCTACCTGCATACTGTTATTGTCATTGTTTCATCCTATCTTCTTTTTTATCCCCATAGGAGTTTTTTTCCATACTGTGGTTGTTTGATTACAATCGGACAACCAAAGTCAAATTCCTTGTTTTTGCACAAAAAAACATAGAAGTTGACTCTGACAAAAACATTACACAGACAGTTAGTTATGGTAGTTGTCTGGTGATTATCTGGGACTTATTTGCAGCTTCATGGCCAAGTTTTGCCATAATTGTTGGAGCCAATTGAATTTGCTCTAGAGCAGAAGATTCTGAAGGAGATTGTCTGATCTTGCAAACATAAGCTCTAGTGCGCTTGGATTTTGCATTCAGACATTGATCCAAATTGCAGCAAAACCATCTCTGATCTCAAAACCTGGATTTAAATCCAATTAAGATGACTTGTTATGACCTGCTTGAAAACCTCCTATGTGGACCAAAGCTCCTCCAATGTATTGTAAAACTTTGCAACCAAGTGATGTACAAACAGGTATTAGCTTTAGGATATAATTTTTCACTTAATTGATGTTGTTTCACTAAAATACTACATTAAATCATCATTCTAAAACCAGATTTTTATTTTCCTCTTTTTACCTAATCTGGTATTAAAATTTGCTTGATGATCTAAATCATGAAAGTTTGATATAAAAGAAATCTATAAGGGGGCAAAAACTTTTTCACTGCATAAAACATCTTTCTTGACATGACAGTGATAAAAAAAAAAAACTCCAAATGAAGAAAGTTTTAAGTTATTTAGCAAGATCCTATTTTTCTCCAAGCTTAATCTGTTAATTAATTATACTTTAATAAATGTAAAAGTCTTAAATATGAGGTTCATAGACTGGATTTCAAAAGGGTTAGATCCCCTCAAGATGCTTGCAAAATATGCTAGAAAAATAAGATGTAGATCCTAACCTGCTAGTAAACAGTGGCTACTTCTTATATCTTGAAAAAAAGAAACTGTCCACATTTAAGAGTAAGATAACGAGGTAATAGTTGCTTCTTATTCCCTCAGGGTATAGGTAAAATAGGCCCAGTCACATAAGGACTGTGCTGTGGTTGCATCATTAAAAGGAATTCAGTTTGTGCTTTTACTTTGGATGAATTTCATCTGATTATGCCAAATTTGTTCACAATTGCATCTACCGGTATATGTTTCCAAAAGGCTTATCCCTGCAACATAACAGGGCAGCACACCAAGTCATTTCTGGTGGCCATGCTTTAGTTTAAAATCATGGGATCATTCCGACCAAGGACTGTGTTAAAAGTTCCTCCAGCGATAAATTATATGCAACAGTGGTTTATAAATGGAAGTTGCATATAGAAAACAGCCCAAGCCGTGTTAAAAAAAGAAAAATCCTCTTATTTACAGCATAATGTGTCATTTACTAAGTCAGTTGTTTTTTGTTTGTTTTGTTTTATGTTTCTGAAGCAGATTTTTTATGTACCCCACACAGAAAAGCCACACAAGATACAAAGTGGAACCTTGTAAACATTTTTATTTGGTCTGTTTTGTTGTTGCAATTTTTAATATGTTTTGAATTTCATGTAAAAAAAAGAACATATAGTGCATTTGTAAAGTGGAGCAAATGTAGCTATATGATGAAACGAGAAAAAAAAGACTGGAGTATATTCGGGTGGAGCACCCTTCATCAACAGCGTGGGTAACTACCTTTATTGCAATTGGCTCTGCATATCTTCTGGTGAATGTCTTTACCAGTGTTTGACATCAGGAGAGTGAAATTGTTCCTATTTTCCTTTAAAAAACAGCTAAGGCTCAGTCAGATTAGATGAAGAGTATCAATGAACATCACATTTCCACACATATTTTCAGTTGGATTATTTAACTTCAACTAGATGGTTCTAAAACATGCAGCTTTGATCTGAGCTGATATTTGTTTAAGGGCTGAGTCCTGGAGGAAACTAAACCTGCTTCTGTCCTAATATTTCTATCTTCCATCAGATGTTCAACTGAATTTATCTGCATGAACCCAGGTAGTTTGTTTCTTTTTACCCCTCTGAAGAAAACTGTCTCCACAGCATAATACTCCCACCACTGTGTTTTACCCCTAAATTAGTGTGTTTATTGTAGTCTTTAGGTTTAGTTCTCCACCACAAATGCCAGAATAAATGAATGAATGACATTTTTAACATACTTGATTAGGTTAAACATGTTTACTGTTTTCCAAACATCCCGTGTGACGAATGGTATTTCTTATTACATTCCTTTAAATAATTGGCTTTCAAACTGCTCCTTAGACGTAACAGACAGATTTTTGGATTCCACAAATTAGACATATCAGCTGTTGGATAGTTTGTGTTTATGTCATCTTGGATTAGGAAATATTAGAGGTTATTTGAACGTATTATTGCAAGATCTAAAGTAACACGTAAATCTGATAAACGTTGGTGTGCTGGTTTTTTACTTTTTTGCACCAGTAAAGTACCTTACATGGTAAACTGTTTTATCAGAGATAAGTTTTAAGGTGGGCAGATTGTTTTGAAAGAGCCCCAGACCTTTTCACCTTGACTTTTGTTCACTTTTAAACTATTTTCATAAATCCTGAACTTATCCTTCCGCTTTGTCTGAAGGATACCAGTTGCTCCGACCCCCTCCCTCTGCTTGCGAACTCCCACACTCCCCCCCACCCCTTCGTTCCCATGTGTCGGAGTCGTCAGAGCCACGATTCAGCCAGGCTTTACGTTGCTAGGAGATGGCCCTGTTGCCTTGGCATTGGTTGTTAGGTGGTCTGCCTGCCTTGCACACATGGGGTGGGGGGATTGGTAGAAAGAGGAGAGGGAGGGGGTGACGAAGACAAGAGCAGACAGTGGACAGAGCTCAGTGGTCAAAGAAGGAGCAGGGTGGGGCAGATCTTGGCTGGAATCCTCCACTCATTATTATGATGGAGAGCCACTCGGTCTATTTATCACTGCGTGGGGGTTCAGGGGTTTGGGGGTAGTTGTTAGAGGAGAGCATTTACTCCAAGGGAAAATAGTTTGCAGGAATATTTTTGAGATAACGTTTGTGTCAGGGACCAACATATATATTGCTATTCTTATTAGATAAATGAGTATCTTTTTAAATATATGTACACATCTTCATAAGATCAAAAAATACTAACAAGAACATCTGTGCAGCATTTTGCTGCTGGCAGTCTCATTTCCACTGGCCTTAAAGCAATTTCCTTGTGAGGTTAATATATTTCATAATTATGTATTATCTTATCTTTTTAACCATATTTCATTCAAATGTTAATCTATACTTTGAAACCACAGATTAGCACGATTTAAAACCCAGTAGATTGTACCCTTTGAAATTATAGATTTCAGTATATTCACGTTTACATCTGTATTTGTACCAGTAAAATATATAAGCAGAATTCCCATGTTGGTGAACATACATTGGCAGGTACTCCTTAAAAACTCCTTCTTGGAGTACTGAAGTTTGTTGAAACTACAACAGGAATGTATGTTAAACGTCATTGAGGATCAGTTCATGTAATAAAATATGACACCACCAACAGCTAAAAGGTATGACTACCTGATGGCGGGTTTATTTATTGATTCATCTGTTGTTGTATTCTATGTTTTAGAAAGGCCAACTTTTAACTCCCCTAATCTAATTGCCTGCCTCTTTCTTGTAAAAAATGAAAACATCTAGAATAGAGCTTCACTAGTTCTACCAAAGGCAATTTATGCTTTTGATTTTTTATTCTTAGCAACAAAATTAACCACATGCAAATGTAGATTTCCACCAATCAGAAAGCTCTTATTTTTTCCCACTTCAAATTTTTCTGATTCCGATTTCTCTTTACTGATTGATTGTTCATAAAGTAAGCAGAGTCAGGATTATATCACATGAGCGAGGATTTGATTAACCCAAGTTTTATTAATATCTTTAAACAAACTAAAACGCATTGCAGAGGTAATAATAACAAATTTATTACATTTATATATTTATGAGAGCTGACAGTTTCCTCTTGAACAGCATATTTTAATAATACTAAAAAACAAGTAAGCTTCTTCATCTATTAACTGTTATTAATGTTGCTGTCAGTGCGCCTCTGTAGGCTTGGTGGTTTATCTGAGGGTCAGATTCCTAAGGAAAAAGAACTCTGTTTTTAAACTACACCAGTTTTAGTTTATTACTTTATGTTCCTGTCTCATTACTGTCAGATATGGTAAATTTAAGATCAATCCCATTTAAGAATAAACCCATTTTACACGTCTGAAAAGACATTCAGACCAAGTGTTTATTGGAAGGTATAGAAGAGACATGCACATGCAGAAAATTAAACACTAACTCCTAAAGAAATCGGTTTAGTTCCTAATCTAAATCACCTAAAAACAACTTTGGAGTCATAAGTCCAACAGTTATATGAAAATAACCAATGGAACTAAATATAATACTATGAGTTTAACTTTTGGAGAAAATATATGAAAATTACCCACAAAAATTTGGGGTCTAAAGGTTTTAGAAGAAAGAAAATCCTTGCTGATTTACACCAGATGGACAGGTTTCACGTCTAACTTTCTCCTATAATAGGAAACCACTTGATGAACTGTAGAAAAATTAGTCTAAATTCAGTTTTTCAAAGAGAAATATATGTAGAAAAAAAATTTAAGCTTTAAACATATAAATATATATATATATAATAATCTTCAATGTATAAAGTTTCTGATTATTCCTGGTCTTTATCTTTCCTCTTCTCTCGTTTTCTGGGCACATTTTGCTTGTTGCATGTTTCTACTAAAGTTTACTTTCCTTTCAAATATTAACAACATTTCTTATAGTTCATGTTTGAAAAAAATCAGAGGGGATTATTTTATGGGCAGCTGTATAAAGTTAAAAATAAAAACCAGAGATAAAAGGCTGAAAGACAACAGTTATTGATTTGTGGGGTTTTTTTGTGGGTTTTTTTTTTCTTGTCACGTTTTGCTCCTCAACTGTGGTTTGATCCTTTCATGTAGCTGATTATCCATCCTTCCTTCTCCAGGTTGGCGATGCCATGAGGAAGATGCAGGAGAGGAACAACGTCGGCAAAGTGATCCTCACCACTGAGCCTATGCCGGAGGAGGAGAAGAAGGAAGAGGCCAAGAAGGAGGACAAGAAAGAGGACAAGAAGAAGGATGATAAGAAGAAGGATGACAAGAAGAAGGACGATGGAAAGAAGGAGGAGAAGAAGGAGGAGAAGAAGAAAGAGGAGCCTAAGAAAGAGGAGAAGAAAGAAGAGAAGAAGGAGGAGGAGAAGAAGGAAGAGGTCAAGAAGGAGGAGAAGTGAGAGGGGAAGATGGATAGTCAAGCAGATCAGCAGCAGGGAGTTTGTGTCCTGGGAGCAGGGGAGGTGGCAGGGATGAGCTTGGTGGTGGAGTTGCAGAGGGTTGGGGGTGGAGCGGTAGCAGAGATGGGAAGGACTTGGGGTAAATTTGAAATGATGGCACCAGTCTCACTCTTTTACCTCCCCTCTGCCTCACCTACTGGGTGATTACTCAGGTCCGGCTGCTCCCACCTCCCCTTTCCTCTTCTCTTACATTCACCTTTTAAAAAAATCAGATCCTTCAGCCCTGCATACGTTCTAATCTCATTTCCTCCGTCCCCCCACCCTTATAGTATTAATCGATATTTGGCTATTGGGAATCAAAGTGTCAGGAGAGCCATGGAGGATGGTGGGTTTGGTCCGAGCCTGGGGGCAAATTACCATCTCCCTGACAACCTTAATCTCCTTTCACACTCCGGCCCCACCCTTGACCCCCGGTGCCCCCTCTGCATCTCGACTCCCACCGTGCTAAATTGTTCTGCTCTGACTTCCACCTGCCACCTCCGCTTTCCCTCCCTCACTGTGCTGAGTCCCTCCCCACCACCACACGCACCTCCCACAGCATCATCAGCCGGACCCACAGACAGGCACCAAAGGCAGGCAGATAAACCGAGAACCACACCCACCCACTCGCATGTTGCTTTCTGCGTCCAGCTCAGTTATGTCACTAAAGATGAGTCAGAGAGGCCTCTGATTGGCTGATGCGCCTCCCCTGGAGATATTTTCATTGTAGTTTTCTGATCATCATGTTTAACTACTTAGAAAAATGTCATGAGAGCTACTGAGAAAAAAAAATGGTTTCCCATCAAAAGCCAATCAAGTTCATGTAGCTTTGCCTGAATATGAATTTCCTCACATAATGAGCCTTTCTGTTCTCTGCTCAATAGGGCCGGCTGATATGATTTTCCAGCTTCCTTCTCCTTAGTTACAGATTTTTCTAGCTGGCCAACTGTTGGCAAGAAGTGCAAGATGTCAATTAAGAGAGAAATTGTTCCTGCACACATACGTGCATGCGCTAAAAGCGATGAAAGAGCCACTGTCACACCAAGACAGTGAGGCGCTTGAAGTGAGTGCGTGAAAAAGGTTTTTCTTTTTGCTTTTGTTTTCCTTCGCTCCAGACTTGCTTTCCTCCCTGATCCAGCGAGAGGAATTTCATTGCATTCCGTTCTTCCCTTCGATCACTCTGACCCAGGAGAGGAGAATTCAGCCGGCTCTGTTGTCCATGCTTCGCCTCCCCACCTCCTCCCTCTTCCTCCTCTTTCTGTTTCCCTCTTTATGGTCGGCATAGCAACAGGCGTCAGGCTCGTCAGAGATGGCTCTGTGGTCTCTCTTTTTTTCTCCTCTCTTCCAACTCCCTCTCTGTGTCTCTGTCTTTATGCTCTTCTAACTTTGCGTTTGCAAGCCGTTGGTGCTCTCAGATGGTATTTCAACAGGTTGATGCTGTTTTATGAAACAGGAAGTCTTCAAGCGTTTAATCTTGTTCTACTAAACCGTAATGCAACCAATCCTTAAATGTGATGCTTTATAATTGGGGATATTAATGGCTCATACTAAAGCTCAGTCAGTAACTTTGACGCCAAAAGAACACTGAATTAAATACTGGGAAAAAGTATTTACGTACTTGTCATAGTTCTCCAGTTTTTCAGTCTGAACTTTTGATAAAGCACATCAGACCAGTAATCTGTTTTTAAAAAGGACGTTTTCATTAATGATGTTATTTATTAAGGGAGAAAAGCTATCCAAGATAGGGCCTTGTGTGAAACAGAAATTCCCTTCTAGATCTAATAATAATCTAATAACTAGTGACGCAACCTTTGGCAACAAGAACTGCCATCCACCTATTGCGATAACTAGTAATGAGTATTTTTACACCTCTGTGGGGAAACATTAGTCCACTCTTCTGTGCAGAATTATTTTGCAGAATCAAAATGCTTTATTCTTTCATGATCAATTTTTATCCTCGCAGCTTGAAGTGCTTTAAATGTTCTGTAGGGTTATTTGTGACCTGTTGAATGGAGGTCTTCATTGAGTCATGTGTAGATCTAACACTCCTTGGAAGGATTACAACTATTCAGTGTTTTTCACGTTTTGAGAATAATGGCTTTTATGGGTTTGTTGGAGTCTGAAACCCTTAGATATGGCTTTGTTATCCACTAGTCAGATGTAAGTACTTTAAACATTCTGGATGAAAGTATTAAGGCGATTCATGTTGTCAGAGAGGTTCTAGAAGGGATTTCTTAAGGTTCTTGCATTAATCAAGTTGAACTTCGCTTTTTGGGTGAGAACAGCTTTTTTCTCTTGAAAAATTAAATCATGCTTTTGAAGTACTTTTCAAAGTTAATGAATGAATTCATATCTGATATAAGTATGCTTTTGATGATGCATAACATCACCGACGCCATCAGTTGCTTTTTATTTAATCAGCTTCAGACATGATGCCGTCCTGTCCGCCTGCCTGCCTGCCTGTATATGAGTCCGGCTTCACTGTTCAGACTCAGATGGTGACTAGTGACTTTGTAAAAAAAACAAAACAAACAACAAAAAGATTGTTTCCAAAAAAAAAAGAAACAGGGGGGAAAAAGTGTTTGTGTTGGCATGAGTGGCCTCCCTCATGTGCTGTGTGTGGTGTGCCATTGTGTGTGAAGACGTGTGTGTCCTCAGGTCGTTTGTCAGGTTTTTCAAATCCCCCACCCTCCTTCCCCCATTTCCACTTCACACTACTCTGCTACAAATATGATGTAGCTTCACACAGACCCTCCTTCCACCTCCATCTCTCCCTCCTGTCTGATAAGAGGCCTGTATTATGAGGACAGTCGGTATTAGTATTTTGCACTCTGCTCGCTGATCTTAATGCACTTGCAAGCATGGAGGTGGCACTCCAGTCCAACCCTGGCTCTAAGTTTTTTTTTTTTTTTTTTTTTTTTTGTTTGGGCTTCAGAGTTGCAGCCTGTTTCTCATCCTTGCAAAGCAGGTGGCACAAACACATTCACTTGAGTAAAGGTCCTCCTCATTTGGGCCAACTTTTCAAATGCATTCATTCATCCTTGACAGTGGGAAGCAAAACACGGAGCTGGAGGAAATGGACTGGAGTGAAACCACCATACTGGTGTGGGGAGTGATTGTGCTCTGTCAGCCTCTGGTTAGTGTTCTGTTCTAATCTGCTGGGCTCCCTTTGTGAACCTGTGGACGGTGCTTCTGTTCTGAGTGCCATGTGAGAAACAATTGCTTCAGTAAAAAAAAAAAAAAAAAAAAGACGAAGAAAGAAAAATGTTTTACTTACTGTTATTTTGATTTTCCTTTATATTTTTGTTTGTATTTTAGTTATCCGAGGGTTTAAAGTTCAAAGCTCATACAGTACTCCGTGGGGACCTGCTAACCTGCACTCCTTTTAAATGTGATAATTTTTTTTTTTTATTGTTGTTTTTCTGTTGGTCCAAACCATGTGTGCCAAATTGTATGTATATTCCTCTGTCAATGCTTTGAATATTAACAGTGCATAAAAATATATTGAAAAAAAAAAAGATTCTGCCTTTGGATGCGTTTCCATCAACCCCTAAGAGGAACAACTGCGGTTTTGTATAAGTTTTGAATTTCAGGGAATTGTGGGACCTTTTTTTCATGTAGTTTTCAAAGCATTTGTTGGTTCTGATTGGTTATTTCTGTGCCTCTATCCATGCACAGAGGTTACCTTCAACACAAAGCAGTTGTGTATTTTCTTTTACACAATCATATTATCTTTCCTAAACGTTTACAACTTTAACAACTAAAAAGCAGGAGAGATTCGGACTCAAAACTTCATCAAAACGACTAGATCTCCTCAATATCCAGAGCTTGCCACATTCCTTACTCCGCATATGTTTCTGCCTGTAGCTTTGCAAATGGTCTGTATAGCAAGTGAGGAAAACAGATGTTCTCACACAGCTGTGCAGCGATGCAGATACTGTAAAACAGCCCAACAAAGCCTGGCTTATGGGCTGATCAACCCCAGCCTGCCCCAGACGCAACATTTCCGCTTTAGAACTACTCTCCATTCACTGACGGTTTCTAAGTCATTCCTCTCTGCAGAGCTTCTTGGCCCTGCAGCAGTTTAGCAGCAGCCAAAAGTCCTCCTGGTATCAGCCCCCTTCCCCTCTGCTACCCCTCTCCCCTGCTTTCACAGAAAATAAAACACGATTTTGACATCTGGAATTTGATATCACATGCATTCATCTGCATGTGGAAAACAGATTAGGAGCTTTTTTTTTTTCTTCTTTTTCCTCCAGTATTTCCCAGTGTTTCTTCTGAGCTAATGCCTATGAGATGAAGTTAATCAGTGAGGCGGTGTTTCATGTCTGGGGTTTAAGCTCAAGTGGATTTTTTGGTTAAAATGAGTCCCACCCCCTTCCTACTTTGGCCTGCCGCCTGGATGCTCTTCCACTATGGTGAACCCGGATTGTATGTCATCCTAAAGTGGTTTCCCAGTCATTCCAGACACTTATGCAAGAGCAACTCAGAGATGCACTACATGGTAAAAATAGGCAACGTGTGGTCATTTTCTTAGATATGAGGGCGCCAATTAACACCGGTAATATAGAGCCAGAGAATATACATTTAAGTCAGTATTTCAAATTCTCCTTTTCTTTGGTTGTCTTGGTTTGTGGCCAACGTTCCTCGCAGACACTCCACGGTCAGGATTTGAAGTCATTTTTAATTTTATATGGTTTCTTAAGTTATCCTAAATTGTAGTTTCCACACACACAGAGACACAGCTGTCCAACTATGTTTCATGACACAAACTCCAACTGCATGATTTTCCTTCACAACATTCACATTCCACATGAAGGGGGATCAGTCGGTGGCTCATATTCACTCCAACATCTGCCTGCAGCTCTTACGTTCTCTGCAGTCTCTTTTAAGGTAATGCAATGAAGAGGCATTGCAGAAACGCAAAGAAAGCACAATCTGCCAGGGTTCTTCATGTACAGTTTAGTATTAGGATGCATGTTTAGTCAATTGTGTGTAGCTTCTCATCGGTTTCACATAGTATTGTGGTGTAAAGGAGAAGAGTGCCGTTGAACTGCAGAGTCCCTGCTCTCACCTTCAGGATGGGCAATGCCAAGACCGGCTGGTAAAGCCACAACACATCTTAACCTATCTCTTGGAGTGCTTCGGGAAAACCCATTTCACGTCCCTCCTCCTGGTAGAAGTTCTGTCAGCAATGGTCAATTTATACAACGCAACAGGTGATTTCTACATTTCCTTCACTGATGTTTCTTGGGATTATAGAAGAAAAAAAAACAAAAACACACTTCTCGCCTCGACTTTGTTTTTTAAACCCTTTGAAACTGCTGCTTCTGTGCTTGACTCTGGGTTTACTGCGTGGTGCCATGCTGTCCCCATGGCCTTTAGAGCTTGTAACGCTTCAGTGTGTAATGTTACCATATGCCTTACATGTTTTCCAGGACTAATAAAAAAAAGCATTAAAAAAAGTCAGGAAATGTGCTCTTTTTATTTAAAGTTATATCCTCCAGTAATCTACAGCGACGCGGGTTTGTGGTTTATTCCGTAAAGAACGTTCCAAAGTGTCCATCTTTACGGTAATATGCACATTATACCATTAAAAAAAACATTTGTTTAAAAACTGAGGCTTAATTAGTAAAGAAATGATTGGAAAAGGTGCATGAAGTAATGCAAATTGTGATGACAGAACAATTTAACACATTTGGAGATTGAAGCACGTATAAAAAAATGTAAAAAAATACCTACATATCAATTCTTTGTAAAAATACAATTTTCTATACAATCACGGATAACGGAGCATAACAGACATGTTACAGCATATTACAATTTCACAATAATTAAACAGTTAAAATTATATTAATTAAAAACCTTAAAGTACATGAAGAGATTTCATCCGTTCCTTTTTTTTTTTTCTTTTTTTTGGACCAGGCTGACAGCTACTCAATCCCTTTAGAAGTTAAGATAGTGGAGAGGCGTGATAGGTAACCTGAGTCTGGGTACCCTTTCCTGAAAAAAAACAACAATTAGGTTTTAATTTGTAGATGAGTTGCATGTTTGTTTGTTTTTTGGACAATCATATTTTCACTCACTCAGCTTTGCCTCCATATAAACTGGTTTTGTGTGGGATGCCATCCCAGGTGACCCTGGCCTCTCTTCCTTTGCCTGTCACTGTGAAGGTGAGTCCCTGCTTAAAGGCCTTTTCCAGTCGGGGAAGGAGCTTCCTAGCGTTGCCATTGTCTGGGAGGTAGGCTTCAAATAGGCCACCTTTAAATGGTTTACCAGGTGACGGATGACCCTCCTGATCAGAGAAAATTCATATAAAAATCAAAGCCAGAAGATATACATTCAATATTATACCCGTAAACCTTTTGCAGTTATCAGCATCTCAACTTTTGTGTTCACTTTACTGTTTCTGGTGCATTATTATCATCCTGCTGAAGGAGCAAGAACTGCCCCATGTTTTAGTTTTCAGCAAGAATTTTATTTAATATCTCCTGTTATTTAAAAAAAAAAAAAAAAAAACATCCCGATGTTCAATACTCCATCGTACCAAATAGTCAACATGAGGTTTTTTTTTAACATCCTCTGTTTGACAGCAGGCTACTGAAATGGCCTGAAACTGATGCCTGGAGTATTTGTTCCAGTTTCCATTTCCAGTTAAACTAATCGTGTAAAATTAAATTTGTGATGGTTACCAGGAGACATATACATAATGTATAATGCTACAATTACCTCACAGGAATAGTCTGATCTATTTTCTAGCTTAAAATATGTATATTAGAGATTTTCTTTTTCTATATGTGGCAAACATCAGTTGATGGATACTTTATGGTGATAGACTATAGCCTCGTGAGACCATCCTGATCTCGCTTTCAAGATTTCACTCGCTAATCAGTCTGGAAACTCTCCGTTGAAGAAAATTTGGAGCCGTTCACCAAACGAACGTCCAGTGTTGGCTTTGAGGCGGGTTGAGGTGTGAGGCAACGAGAAGCGCGACAGTTCAGTCTAACTAGCGTTAGCGTGGCTATCGAGCAAGTTTTATCGGAATTACAGAGTATTTCTTCACTGAAAGAAGAGCAAAACACTCTGGAGGCTTTTCTCAGAGGAAAAGATGTTTTGCTCTTCTCCCGACTGGTTTCGGCAAGAGTAGCCTGGCTTGTGGTTGTGTTTTCGTGGTCGGTCTGTTAGTACGTCATATGCTTCGTCTATCACCAACATAGGCCAATCAGCTAAACAGTATTTTCGCCCCTTCCCAAAATTACTGCAACGGAGGGTTTCCAGATGGATGTGCGGAGCAAATCCATCTGGCGGAGTCAGGTTAGCTAGACTATTCCAATTAATATATTAAATAGAAATTTCTCAATTCCTCTTAATTGTGAAAATATATATAAAATGGATTTGGATTGAAACTATTTTTAAGTTCACTAAATGGATTCCAATTAACGGCTGGATTCTTTCACAATACAAGATTCATCTTTTTATGGATTTCTATCCATCCTGTGAGCAGTCGGCTACACAACGCAGCATCAACACAGTAGTAGCTGGCGTCCACGGCCAGAATTTGTTGCTGCAGTCAGTCTTTTCTTTTGACGACATGTGGTTTTTACAGGAGAAAGTGCAATGCAGCTGGTTTCAGTTAATTTATGAAATGCATTTTGATCAGTAGTCGAAAATATATTACTATGGAACTGCTTCATCAAACCTGTAGAGTAGCCTGCAATTCCGTAAAAATGGCATGCCGATCAGGAGCTTTATATAGTGGTTTTATTAAGTAGTTGAAATTAGATTTTTTTCAAACACCAATATTGGAAGAAAATTAAATTGTGTCTCGTTCTTTGATTAAAACAGGATATATTATAACATTTGAAGGTCTGCTCTTTTCTCAATGCTTCTTTTTAAGCATTCTACATTTCTCATAAATTTTTGGTTTATTTACTTCAGAAACTTAAGTTTTGAGCGACATCACACGCTCAGCTGCTCTCTCTGTAAAGGTGGAGCAGTAACAGGCAGCTAAAAGATAAAAAAACAAGCTCTTTATGAGATGGCACCAGTGATAGATTCTAAGTAAGCTACTCACCCCTTGGATACCATCAGGAATGCGGTAAGTGATCTTGATGGCGGTGTCCTTGGTGTGACCTGGTAAGGCTATGCTCAGTTTGGATTTCTTCATTTCGCCTGAGATTCCTTGGGGTTCCTTGGGCTCTGCCTTATAGCAGTTTTTGCAGTAAGCGTGCACCCTTTCTAAGCATTCTGTGCACATGGTGACCCCACACTTTGCCCTCACCAAAAAATGCTTCCTCTGCTCACAGACAGAGCAGAAAACCTGTCCTTCCAGACCTGACCTGGACTCCGCTGAGTTGCTCTGGGTCTCTGATGATCTATGTCCCGTAGAGTCTGTTTGATGTAATGTCGTCTCTTTCTCACCATTCACGGGATTGTTTTCAATTATTTTTCTATCCTCTTTCTCCCTTAAGACATATTCTTTCTTCACCAATAATTGGCT